AGGGAGATTTTAAAGTAATCGATGTAATAGGTACGTTAGCTTATTAATATAGATGAAACTTAATTTTTTTTGTAACTTAGATTGTGTTGTTATTACATTAAAGTTAAGATTTTGGTATCCATCACTATATCTAATTCATTAATGTCCCCTTCCAGTGAATCTTAGTTTGTAAGTAAAATATTAAAAAGATTAACTTTAAATCGAAGGGGGCCAAAATATTCTTTACATATTTAAGGGAGGTCTGTACAATGATATCATAGCTTCATTAACCAATACTTACTATGAAGAACTCAAAAGGATATTTTTCTTTAGGAATATATAATAGGTTCATTCTCAACTCCTTACGAAAACTGTTTTTTTTGTTGGTAGGTATTTATAAATTTTTTCTCCTTTACTCATGGTATATTCTTTGGATAAATTAACCACCCTTTAGGCTACCATTTGCTGTTTTTTTTAAAATTATATAAGTTACGCACGATATTAGAGAATGAATTCGCAACAGCCTATGATTGTGTCATGCTACCGGACAAGAAGTTGAGACTCTGACAGCCTCAAGGCACAAACACGCTCTTCAATTCACATCCAAAATTTATGATCGCCTCCCCTTTAAGAGTCTCTTACAAGAATGAATTTAATAAACTTCTTACTCACAATTAAATTTAAATTTATATTTATTAAATTTTTAAAGAATAGTTAGAATTTCGATTTATTTAGTGTACGTTAGAATCAATGTCTTTTTTTCCGGCAGTTTTTTTATAAATTTTAAAAAAATATGATTCTAACAGGAAATACATTCCATTATGTTTGGAATACCTAACTTTATGAATTATAAATAATTTTGGCTGTTAATTAACCTTTGATTCATCCATAATTTACTGTAAAAAAATTTATGAAAAGAATCTAATATAAAATTTTATTAAATTCTAAAGTGTATGGCAAAAATTTGTCTGAAATTTATGAGGGTGGGTATTCCAAACATAATGCAATGCATTTCCGGTAAAGATTAAATCTTTAAATTTAAATAAAACGCGCTCAAAAAATGATTTAAATGTTGAAAAAATAACACACTACCCTGAAATACATTGACGCTAACCGGGGACTCGAACCGGTTACGGTTCTTAAGATAAAATTTACAAAGGTTCGGTTCGGTTTCAGCTAATTAAAAAGGTTCATAATGGTTCATTACCGTTAGAAATTTTTTTTTTTATTGAAGCAAAAACCATCGTCCAATTTATTTTTTATTATAAGCATCTATGAATTATATATAAAAAAAAAATATATGAGATTCAAAATAACTCGTTTTTTAAATATATTATAAGTAATATATTTTCTAATATAAATGGATTTCATATAGGTTTATTGTGACGATAGCACAAATTTTAGCCCTGAAAAAGGCCCTTTCTACAGAAACTTGTGTTGCGGGAACCGCCAGTACTATAAGAGCAACTCTATACAATTCTGGATATTCAAAATTTTTTGATCCCTAAAATATAAAAACTGAACCGGTTTGAACCGGTTTTTTACTCCTGTTCGGTTACGGTTCTGATATTTAAATCGGTTTATAATGGTTAAAGGGTTAGTTACTATTCACTCGGTGTTCCTAACGCTAACATATATAAAAGAATTTTTTAAAAAAATAATTTAAATCGAAATTTTTTATAAATTTATTACATTTTAATTTTAAAGAAATTTTTATAAAAATTTGTCTGATTTAAAAAAAAATTAATGGACTTTTTATCATTATAATTTAAATATACTTTTATTCTTTATTTTAAATATTAATTACTAATTAGTTTATTTGGAATAACTATAAAATATGAAGGTTTAAGAAAAAAGATTACTTCGTGTATAATGTTGGGGAATATATTTCTTCAAGGTCTCCTTTAAACATTGTTGTAAACAGTTAAAAAAAAACATTAACGAAAGTTAAAAATAAAATAATTTAATTTAAAATTTAAAAAAAAATAAATACATAATATGGACGAAACATTAGATATGTTTATATATATAAGGGTTAAGTATGTATTCCCAGTTGGGAATGGGCTGAAAGGTGAAAAATTTTAAACTGTTTTTAATTTATATCAAGCAACTCTTTCTGGGTTATCATGCGACTAAAACACTATTTGTTAGTTTGAATCCCTCCACTTACCCACCCTTTAAATATTTTTTTTTTCAGATAAATCTAACAGAAAGTTAGGGAAAACTAGTAAAAATGCGATTATTTCAAAGTTGATGTAATTCCTAGTATACTTAGTTAATAAATCATTTTTCATATATCTTTTAAATATAAGAGAAACATCTATTTATGGGCCCATTCCATGTCAAATGGATCAAAAAAAGCACATTATCAGCCGACCCCTTTTAAAATGGTTAAAAATCTCTGGAATTATTTAGATAGATATATAAATGAGAAAGCCGTTTATTTTAGCTCGCTAGCATGCCTGGTTCCCGAGATATAGGGGTTCAAAAGTGCTAAAAAGAGCCACTTTGGAATCTGTAAAATTTTTAAAATGCTTGTATCTCAAAAACTTTTCATAGTATAAAAAATATATAATTTATCATATTGTAGGCAAAAGAAATCTCTAAAAGGCTATCAAAAAAAATAATAAAAATTGGCGCCAATTTGAGTCTTTAACTTCCGGTTTACCTATCTTGCTACCTGTATTTTTAAACAAAGAAGGGAGTTTGTTTTCGAATTTTTTTTTTTGCTATTTATTTAGACACCTTTTATAAATATATATACGATGTCAAAACCTTGGCAACGCTATCGACTTTTCCGAAATATAGATTTTTACCAAAAATTGAAGAAAAAAGTAGATGGCACAAATGGTTGAAAAATATTGTTCCTATAAGGAAAATGAAAATATTGATACGTTTATAGGAAATGTGATAAAATTTTCCAGTTCCGCCCTCCTCCCCCCCCCTCCCACCATCCCTAAAAAGTTTTACATTTTTTAGACCTCTACTTTGCTATAATCGCGAATGACTTATTACCTCTATAATGTATAACAGCTGCAGTAAAAACGAATATTTTATTAAGCATATTATCGATTATATTTTACAAAATAAACTGTTTAAAACGATCTCTCTTTCCGGGTAATATTTAACTTGTCCGTTCAGATTAATTATAAATAATTTGTCTACCAATAACATTCTGGATTTGGAGAGTGCAAAAACATATATTCTAAATGCAGGCCAATTAAAGTTTTATTTTATATAACAGATGGACGTACCAAATATTAAAATGTTGCAACCCATTTAATCTACAGAGAGATGCTTATTATCGAGTGAATCTAAGAAAGATTCTACCCTGGAAGACCCAAAAAAATTACCATTCCATTTAGATATGTTAATATGCTCTTCATGCCGACAAAAATTAGCAAACATTCCTTAAACTTCAAATGACAATGTAGATATTGATTCTCCCACAAATATAATTAATCAAGAGGCTATTGATAACATTAATAAATCCCTTAAGAGAAAACGCTTATGTGAAAAGAAATATTCGAAGAAAAATATATCTAGAGTAAAAAAAAAGTTTTAACGACTATAATTATGCTATTATCTTCATCAAATGATGAAAAATTCTATGAAATTCTAGATAACTTAAAAATTAAAAAAATTAAAAAAATTATATTAAAGTTTATTATTGGAAATTTGTTACATTATTAAGTGACTAATGGGCATATGCCCACTCTGCTCCTCAGTTTAATTAGTATATTTAATAGAAATTCAAAATTTTTTAGTATTAAAAGTGAAAATATCCGGTTATTGATAAGTTAGTAGCAAAATTTTACCGTAATCCGTAATTTCATAAAGCGCCATCTATTTTTTAAACAAATTTTGGAGTCGATAGCGTCGCCAAGGTTTGACATCGTATATATATTTAGCAAAGGTGTCTAAATAAAAATGAATAAAAAAATTTAGAAAACAAACTCCCTTTTTTGCTTAAAAGCATAGGTAAAGCAAAATATGTAAACCGGAAGTTAACGGCTCATATTGGCGCCAATATTTATTGTTTTTTGATAGCTCTTTAGAGACTTTATTTACTTACAATTTGCTATATTATATATTTTTTTAATATAAATAGTATTTGGAGATATAAGCATTTTAAAAATTTTACAGATTCCAAAGTGGCTCTGCAGCCCCAATATCTAGGGAACCAGGTGTGCTAGAGAGCTAAGATAAACGGCTTTCTCATTTTCTTAACTATCTAAATAATTCCAGAAATTTTTAACAATTTTAAAAGGGGTCGGCCGAATCCTGATCGATTTGACGTGGAATGGCTTATGCTTATATCTTAAAAAATTTGAAAATATCCAAAAAGGCATATGCGAGGCCATATTGTTTTTTATATTAGAAAATGAATTAAATATTTATGATCGTATTTTTATGATTGAAATCTTTTTAAAGGTGTTTTCCATATTATAATCGACAAAATTATAATTTAAAAAATTGATTGCCAAACGCTAAATAATCTCAAATTCTATTATTATATTATATTACTTATTCTTGGTCCAATGATATTAATATTACCTGAACTGACATTCTATTCATTTAAATGTAAAGTTTTGGAATTCTCTTTCTAAAATAAAAAAAATCTTCAAAAGTTTTTGATATCTGAAGATAAATTGTAAAAAAATCTCTGAAATACCCAAACATAAATTATAAATCAAATTTTATCTAAAATTCCAAATATTTTTCAATTTTGTTTCTTTCAAACCTCTGTTGGGTATCAATGCTAATTAAATGGTGACGTTAGTTTTTGGTTTTCCAATATGTGAATAATTTATAATAAAATTTTAAGAAACTTTAGAAGTTTTCATTTATAAACAATTATCATATGTGACCCCACACATCTGTTTTATATTCAACAATACTCTCGAAGATTGAATGAATCATTTAATCTGTCTAGCTAATTTATTATGTGTCTATCAGTGTATTTCGTTTAGATTAATCAAATTTGAATACGAAAGGTTAATTTATTAGAATTTCCCTCCGTAAATTATGAAACTTAACAAATATATTAGTATACAAAACTAATTATGATAATAAAATGATAAATTCCCAAATTATTTTGATCCATATTTTTATGATTTTTTTTCTTACACCGTGCCTCTCTTCATTCACGTGGTCCCTATAAACAAATATAAAAATGGTTATATTGAAATCATTAAAGAAATTTATCAGAAGTAAGTAAATCCAACATCTACATGAGAAAGAAAGAATTGGACATCCCCCCTTCCTCATTTTCTTACTCATACACATTAAAACGCATCACTTACCACCCTTAAAAATATATGGAGCTTCCCCAGATCGAAGTGAATCTTATTATTTTCCATATAATAAAATATACCAGAGTTGTTAAAGTATTTTAAGTATAAAAAATGTTGTATCTGTATCTAAATACTCTCTTTTTAAGAAGTATCTATAACTAGATTCTATTTTAGAGGTATCTCTATCTGTTTTTTAGATGATTTTCTATAAGAATTAGGCACCGTTGATTGAAATAAAAATGCCACCTCTCATGCTAATCTTTCATCTTTAGAGAATTATTCGAAAAAAAAAGAAAATTAATTTTTCAAAAGGTTGGTTTTTAATTTTTTTTTTGGTATTTATATATTAATTTTGCCTTTCATTTTTTCATGTTTATGTAAAAGAAAAAAAAAACTATTGTGCCAGAAAGCCCACCAGCTTGGATTATATTAATAATTAAAGAAAATCTTTGTTGGTTAAGAAGTCCGATGTAGGATTTTAGCTAAAATAATATTATTTAAGCATAGAAGTTTTTAGCTCCAAGCATTTCTGCCAGCTATGTGCAAAATCCTTAGGCTTACATAATGTTATTTTGGTTAAAATTTAATCGGTTTTTTAAAAATCTATCCGAATCTAGCTTTTTAACAACTCTACTAATAAGGATATTATTTTTTTTAAAAAAAAATCAACCTTAAATTTAATACAAAATTTTTTTAGATAGGTTTTTAAATTTTAAAAATTTTAAGTGGATAATATATGCCTAATTAGAGTGGGGGATTGCGAATATAAATTGGAATAAATTTTTAAAAATATTATTTCAGAAAAAATTTTTTTTATAGCGCATCATTCTGCAAATTAAATTATGTAAAATATATTTAACCAATCTAGATAATCTGCATCTCCCAGTAAAATCACAGTACCTATTCCCTGTACAGTTGCACCCTAAATTTATATAAATAAAAAAAAATTAATATATATATACATATATAATAAGCAGAGTTGTTAAATAGATATAAAAATGTGGTATCTGTATCTGTATCTAGATAGATTTTTGATTAAATAATCTGTATCTAGATAGATTTTTGATTAAATAATCTGTATCTAGATATTATTTTAGACGTTGTATCTATATCTAGATCCATTTAAAAAGTATCTTTTAACAACTCTGATAATAAGTATGAGTTATAAAATTATTTTTATTTCATTTTATTTACGGTTTTGGCATTTCAATCCATAATAGTTTGGCCTACAATTGCAGGCACCATTAAACTTGCAGCTATTGTGCCAGAAAGAATTTTGACAATCTGTGGGACATTCTTTTGATGAATTTGTTTTAAATAAAAAATATTATAGTTAATTTTAAATGTCTATTTTTTTTATAGTATAGTAAAAATTTTTTAACCTCCTAAAATTATTGAATGTAAAGAGGGGTGGTTTTTCACTGGTAGGTCCCTAAACTGATTTTACTTTTATAAAAGTCGGTTTCTAACCGTGATTCAGACCAAGAAGAAGAAAAAGCGTTTTTTGACATTTTATATATTTTATTGAAAAGAAAAAATTGTACCTGATTCACAATTTTCGCCATAATAACCCTCTTTACAGATGCAACCTCCTGTGGGAAACGGTGAGATCGAATTATTCCTATCACAAGTGGATTCTATTTTCGTTATTGTATTTTTTTTTAAGAGTTGTTGAAAAATAAAATAAATGGATCTAGATTATATTTTAGCATGATTTAGCCAGGAATATATGTTTACATCGACACGGAGCTTAGCAAATTTGAAAAAAAAACATAAAAAATCTAAAAATATCTGATTTTACCCTGAACAGTACTTCAGAATTTATAGTATTATTGGTATATTCAGATATAAATTAGGGGGGGGGGCTAATCTAAGTTTTTTGGCAGCCTATTGTCTGATATTCAACAGGGATAGGTATACTTTGCATATTCTGAAATATGAATTTTGGGCAGGATTCAATTATTCGGGAAATTTAAATTGGCCCAATATAAATGAACTTAAAGTTCTAAGGATTTACTATATAAGCCAAGATGATATTCTAGAAACCCTAACTCTTATATAATTGGATAAAATAAACAACCTCGATTACACCGAGCCCCATATTTCCAACCTTTGCAACGGCATTGGCCATGTTCATCACAAAATTTATTTTCGGAACATAAACTACCATCTATAATAATTATAAATATAATTAAAATAATATTTTCAAGTAAATAAAGAAAGAAAATGTAGAAAAGTATAAAAAAAAATATTATTTGGTCGATATAAACTTCACATCTTTTACAACCAACCAATAAGTGATAAAACAGGCAAGAATTCTTGATGACTGAACATCCTAAATAATTTTTCCGCTAAAATCCCCATAGAAATTTAACAATTACAAATTAAAATATAACTATTAATCAATTATTTTGACATAATCCCTTACTTGAAAAATTTTTATAATCTGGTTCATGCAGTACATATATATACATCACTAATGTATGCATTATATTTTGCTGCAACATTTAGGTGTTCTTTCATTCTTTCTTTCTTTCTTTCTTTCTTTCTTTCTTTCTTTCTTTCTTTCTTTCTTTCTTTCTTTCTTTCTTTCTTTCTTTCTTGTTGTTGTTTAGCAGATATTTGATAATTGTTTAATTAAGCATGTGGTGAAAAAAAAATGGCCGTGGTTTGGCAAATAGTCTGACGAGATTTTTCCATAATCCTAATTATAATTGGCTAGTCATTTATTAAGTGGAATTCCTCAATAAAACTGCTAAAAATATAAATTAGGCTCTATAAATTTAAAATTTGTAATAAATTGACTGAATTAAGATAATATTTATTATATTTTATATAATATCATATCATATTTATAAATATTTTCAAAGGGCACAAATCTTATAGAACAATTTGACAAAATTCCATTGTGGATGAAGGGGGAGGGGTAGGAATATAATTTTTTAAGGTGACCTGGCATCATTCACAGTTCTATCAAACAAGGGAGGGAGAGGCTTTTCATAACTAATATCAATATAAACATTTGTGGGTTTATGGTACAATAACATCGTAAAAAGGCATTTAGGGCCAAAATCTATAATAATATTTATACGAAGTTATAGCTATTAAAAGACAAAACCGAGCCATGGGATGAGGTAGGTATTTTTTTTTTATAATAGTTGAATATATGTTTTAATGATAAACAATCCAATAAGAAGTGAAATTGTTTTTCACTTGCGACAATCTGTCAGCATCCTCATGAGAGAATAAAAAAAATGGAGGGAACACACCCAGATTTACTCTCCTATCCCATATTATTTGCACCATAACCCCTGAATACTTCCCCCCCCCCATACGGATACAGGGAGCTAAATGGCTTCCTCAAAAAGCAGTATAAAATAGCACTTGATATAACATTTTTTTTAGAGAGATGGGTTGGTTAATTCGTTAATAATCACATGTGTGTGTGGGTGGGTGGGGGGGGGGGTTAGATACATCTCTGTATATAAGACCAATTATATATGAATAAATTTAATACTTAGAGTTTCATTTTCAGGGATAATTTTGCATAAACATCTACCAGATAAATCACAGCCAGACGAAACTTTGCGATCACAGTGACAGACTTATAAAATAAATAGAAAATAAAATTAAAATTAAAGCGTTATGTGTATTATTTTTATATAATTTATATTACAAAATATTTAAATTAAATTCATGCATAAATAATAATCTATCAAGTACATTATACATTGAATGTCATTGACACCAACCAATTGTTTCTAAAAAGTTGGGAATGGGTTAACGCATGAAAAAGAATTTAGAAAAAAAAAAGTTAAATACATGTTCTAAGAAGATGACAGTGCCGCATCAGAAAGATTAGAAAAATTAGAGATTTTAGAAAAGAAGAAGATTTTTGAAAAATGTTTGTAAAACAATGCAATTCTTGACGAAGCGTTGGATGAACGTATTAGACACCAATTCTTTTGCGGTGCCAAATGGGAATAATTTAAAATAGAGAGTTCTATCTAGAAATTACTTTATTCCGTAAGAAGCAGAGAGCGAAATGAGATAACACTGTATATGTAGTAAAGAAATTTAGCATGAAGAATCAGGTTAAAAACGATAAAAATAGAAACTTAATTTGGAAATATACCAGCCAATTGTATGCAGTGTGGAAGGTTACCCTCGAGAGTCAGGGGATCAATTGTTATCATATAGGGAAAATTAGATTTTGCAAGAAACTGTTGAAACAATAAAATTCTTAATATCGCTGATATTATACAGTAGCCGGGAATACTTAAACAATATTTCGAATAATCATATCTACTAACAGAAAAAGTTTTAATATAAATTAAACGAGACGACGATATAAATGCATTTTGACATGGGGAAATAACTCCCTTCTATAAAATAAGATGAGTTTAAGTTAGGATTGGAAAACCTGCAACTCCGGGTTATGTGTTATGGGCACATCGAGTTGTTAGTTTGCTGAGAGAACCGCTAATTAATGCATAATTGGGAGAAATAAGCCAGAAATTTAGCTAAGATATATAATAAATTCGTGTTTTCATTATAAATTGACTTTGTATACCGTAAATAAGTTACAAAAAAAAATTATATGTTCCCTTCGAACCGATGAACTGTAAATCTAAGGATATCCAGAATAAATATACCGAGTTGGCAATTTAGAGATAGTTAATAGAGTAAAATTTACTACACCCTAATGATGCTAAACAATAGAGCTAAATCTATTCTCTTAAAATTTTATTACTTATTAAAAGTAGTGTTGTTAAAGGGCTCGTCTCGTTTTGAGTCGATCTTTAAAAAACGGCTAAACTCAATATTTCCTCGAAAAATTACGCGCGCCTGAGGATTTTGCTCATGGTCTAAGGAGGCTTAGAACAATATTTTTTCTGACTTAAATATTGAGTTATAAAAGCCATAGAAGGCGAATTAAGATAGTTAAAATCCGCGAAGATCATTGAAAGTGATAAATTCCTAAGACACATACATGATAAATATGATACAACTTTAAGAAAAGTCAAGAAGTTTGCGCTAAATAATATGGATTGACTCTAAGGGGTTTTTTTTTCAGTCAGTTAAAGATATTTTATAACAGCTTTTGGAATGTTATAGTAATTATGCCGGTGAATTTTGGTGATAGACTTAAACTCATATACCAAGGATATTCAGAATATAATGAAGTATAAAGCGCATTTATATATATATTATGGAGGGACTAGTTTAATAGAAACCGAACTATTTTTAAATCAAATTTTATAATTTCCAAAAAACAGGGGATTAATTTAGATGACTCCCACTGTGCTAATCGAAATATTATTGGTTAATTCCTATTCCAAGAGGATAAATTGAACCAATATGAATGACAGCAGTTGGAATAATGATTAAAAAACTGAACCAAAGGGTTCTCTTTCGGGTATATTGCAACAGTAGTGAGTTATAATGTGTAAATTTGCATACCATGAATTTAAATCGTTCTGGAAAAGTAAATACAATAAAGAGATAATAGAAAAATCATATCTGGGGGCTAACAGGGAATAAAAATTAAAAATGTATTGTCGCTGTGAGAATTACAACACCCCCCCCCCCCACCTCCCTTCCCATGTTTGATTGACATATAGAAATATTGCGCATAGTTCCATACCGGATTTATAGGCGGAACATATGTTGTGCAGACGTATACTTTAATAGATAAAGTTAAGCCAGATCCAAGAGAGAGGATGCTTGTAAAGGTAGAACAATAGAAAAAAATATAATGATTAGAAATTTGAAAAAAAAAGCGTAGAATTTGTGGAGAACTACAAGCTGTTATAATGATATATCACCTGGTTGATGAGAATGTCAACGTGCAGAGCGTATTATTTATTTTCTAAAAAAAATATTCTCTATATTATGTCTTTAAATTCAGATTTACTCGAATCCCATTGGAGGAAAACGTAACTGTCTCATAAATTTAATTTAAAGAAATAGAACTTAAAAATTACCATACCCTTAAAGATTGTGTAAAAGATTCTAGACTCGGCTGCTTTAAACAGGTTTGTAAAATAATTGCCTACAAGTTACTTGGCCCAGCCCATAATATTTGTTTGTCCGGGAAAAAAAGATGTAAATTTATATAATTCTATGTTTTGAAAAAGAGTTCTGATACGGACCCTAAAAGATCTTTTGCAGATGTTGCCCAGTTAGGGTTCAAGCGGATCTCTGATATGACTTCTCCTAGCTCTTGACATATATTTGGAAAAAAACTTACTTTTAAAAAATAAATAAATTGGAATAACAATTTAGGATATTCAACATTATATATAAGTTATGGCTTGGCTCAGGATATACTTACTAAAACGGTCTAATGTGTGCTCAGGTAATTTATTTAAAATTTAAAAAAAATAATATTTCATAAATACTGTAAGAGTAACATGTTACAAAACAAATACCTTGTTACTTTTACAGGATAACGCGAAATGTAATGACGTTACTTTATGAGTGACACATAGTAACTATTTAACCTGGGGTTTCACAATATAATTTAACATTATACCTCTGTTACAATATTTCCCATACGTAAAATCTTCGCATATGCAGCCGCCTATAAGATTGCACTTATTCAAAGGGCAGTTCCTATCGCATCCTTGTTATCATTATATAATAAGAGAGATGCTAAAATATAGTACAAATAAGATTCTTAAGTTAAAAAATATACTTATTTATATGTGCAATAAATGACATTATAGAGTAAAATTTTATTAAATTAGTTCACTAGTCGGTTTTATTTTCCATGACTCAATAAGTGCTCAAAGTATTTAAAATTTTTTTTAAAGAATTATGAGGATATTCCCAAAATTTAGATGTCAATCAAACCCCCACTAGCCGTTCACTCTAGTAACAAACACCTAACACCACTTCCTTTGCCGAGTTTTACTTGCAAAAGGAAGTTGGTCTTAGGGGTAGAGATAACATGACACATGCCATTCAAAAAAATGGTAATTTTATTTGTATATTATCTTTATAACATTCTTAAACTTCGTTTAGAAATAATATAATAACAGCTGATTTAGTTAATTGGTCTTAATACGCTATAACTGTTGCATGTTGCAAAAATAATAAGATATATATATATACTTCTTTCGCATTTGTTGCCCCAGTAACCATCGAGACAATGGCAATGCCCGAAGTAAGAGCAACTTCCGGCTGATCTATTTTGGTTACAATCGCAATCTTATTGTTTTCATAAATAACGTAATTTATAATTATACATTATCATCCATAAGCATAATAACAACAGAATTCTTGTTTACTTTCCAATTATTTTATCATGTATAATAATATCTACTTACATTAATCTTAAAAATAATACGTAAATCCAGTGTTTGACGAGCAAAAAATTCACAAATGATTTTGTAAAAGATTTTTTTCTGTCTAAAAAGATTTGGAAATTGTGGGTAAAATTTGATCAAAAAGAATATTTTTAAAAAAGATTTTATATTATGAATATCCTTTGAAGCTCTGTGTAAGAACTAATTATGCATCAGGGATTCAGTTTCTTTCAGATCAAATCATTTATTTTACTATCTATATAATTATTTCGAGTAAATTTTTTTTTTCTCTGATTTTAAATAAGTAATTTTATTTAAATATTTATAACTTCCTAAAGGAATAAGGTGAGTTATAAAATATTGTATAAAAATATTGAAAAAAAAATGATTAAACGTTTTGGTTGAGACAGGTTTTCAATTAATATAATATGTATTATATTATTATTTTTTTTAAATAAATTTTAAACATAAAATATTATTCGTTTTTAAAGGGATTTTCTGGAAAAATAGATAAGTGGAATAGGAACAAAGAATAATTTTCTTTTCAGAACTGGGAACAGCGATAAAATGCTTTTGATCTAACCCTAAAAAAAAAAATATATTTTTTTGGGTGGAGTTAAATGTAAAGATACAAATAACAGATTAAATGAGATTTTTTTTAGAAAAAAAAACAGCATAATAAGGTCCGTTTATAGTAATCGCGATAAAAGCCTAAGCGAAGCGGAGAGTACATCAGTTTCATTTTATCGCGTCGCTAAACGCCAAGATATTTATTTTGATTTTGTTAATTTAGATATTTCAAAATTAGCGATGTAGTTGCTAATTTCGCAGTTTCTAATAAACTAGAACCTAAAAAAATAGCAGCTATTTATATTTGTAACTAATTTATTCTTTTATTTAACCTGCAGAACAATTAGTCCCATATTTACCGAACCCACAAGTGTTCTCTTTCGCCTCACCCATTGTAACCGCTAAATAAATTTAAAAAAAAAAGAAATTTATTTTGTAATGTTTTTTTTTATATTTGTAATTCTTTAATTTTTCTTATTATATTCTTATTTCTTTGTTTTTTTTATTTTAATATCTTTTATACAATTATATTTTTATTTTTAATTATTTTTTTGATTTTAGAGAATTAATATTTTTGAATTTTATTCCATTAAATTTGGTATATCATTTCATGCCTGTAAAAACATGCAGTTATATGATACTTTTTCTCTATATCAATAAATAAACTTACCAATTAGGAGAGCACATAGTAGAATTAACGAGATATTTTTAAGCATAGTTAATTAATTTTTTTTTAAAATATTTTTTAAAATATAAATTTGTTAACAAAATTAAAAAAAAATATGATTAAATTTCTTTTATAATATACGTGTATATATATATATATATGAATTAAAAAAAATATCTTATCTACACTATATAGTTATTAGAAGAACCAAAGAACTCAATAACAATAACAAATGGATTTAACCTTGGAATTATATATTAAGAATTTCTGTTATAGTTTTCATAAAAAAAATTGATTGCGATTAATTGCATTTCTTAACTCTCCTATAATTTAAGTTAGATTAAAAAAATTTATTTTATTTGATTGTAATAAACAACAAAAAAAAATTTAATCTTAATTTTTTTTTAAAGTTATAAATCCATCTAAAATCAAATAACAATTTTGATATAAAAATAAAAAGAAATTAAAAAATATAATTGTAATTGTAAGTGTTATCACTACTATATCTAGTTTACATAATGGTTGTATGTCTCCCTTTTTAAAATCGTAAATGCTTTCAGAAGTTATGATTTTGACTTAGAAGTCAGGAGTTCTAATTAGAGATCTGCATTGGGATCCTTACTTTCTAGTTCAATCAATCCGAGAAAATATAAATTTTTGATCCGATAATTTTCCATATGATTTAAATATTAAAATATAATTATTAATCTCTTACCAATTAGGAATGCACTTAACAGAGATAACAAGATATTCTTTAACATTTTGGATAATTTTTTTTTAGAAGAATCTTTCAATTTCTTAACATAAAAAAAATTAAATTAAATAAAAAATTAAATAAAAATTTAAATTTAAAAATAAGATTGCCAAACATAACCTCGATTTAATAAAGTCAATAAAAGCAGAGTTTATGAACTCTAGTATTTTGGTTTATTTTTAAAATTGGCTAACTCTGCAATATTTAATTAGAGATTTATTGTAAAATAAAATGTACAACATCATTACCTTAAATTCTAATAAAGAGTTTTGCTTAGATATTTACTATTTCTCTTTTTAAAAAAATCACTTCGTTTGTGGGCGGATCTAAAGAATTATTAAGTGAGTAATCTAATAACTATTTGAGGCCATTTTTTTTGACATTTCTAAGTAATAATTTCAAGAAAGAAAAAGAATCTTTTAAAATCCTATAGCTTACTTATCTCATCTATATTTCCGGTAATAAAATTTGCGTTTTATATTGATTTCCTTCGAAATAGTTTTGAGTTAAGAGATAAAAAAAAATTATGTCAATCTTAGAAGCGAAACCTAATTTGCTCCTGAAGCTAAGTCTTGTGAGAGGCAGTTTAAAAAAATGGGCGAAATCTGCGCCATTTGTAAAAAATAATGCTATTTTTTTATTGATGCGCATGCGTGTAAAATAAGCTAATATGCGCTAAGACACTCACGTCTGTTTATAGGCTTGTTGACACTTTTATGACTTGAAAATTTTTTGATAAGACCCTTACTAAATAATAAATTCTAAGTACTATATTCAAAAATGAATAAATTTTGTTTACTCTACCTAATTTTATTTTTTATGGTCAAAATTTAGGGATATTTATTATTGATGCTTGAAAACCTTATATAAAAAATCTTATAATATTATATCATTAATTTATTTTGAGACACAAGCTGCTCTTTAAACACTTTATTTTAATATTTATAAAACATTTAACATAATATTTATAGATAATATTAATAAAATAAATTTAATTAATTCATTTGATATACAAATTTAAAATGTAATAAATTGCTGCTTCACCCACAATCTTAACACACCAATCAATTTTCGAACCTTTAAAAAATTTTTAAAAATAATCTCATCAACCCCCCCCCCCCCTTTGGAGTATATTCAACTATTACAGAATGCTGACTGTACTAGTGGTTATGAATGGTTGAAAGCATTACCAAGTCGTAACCTGAGTAACCTCTTATCAGATGAACAATTAAGAGTTGCCATAGGCCATCGACTTGGATGTAACATAGTTCAACCACATACATACATCAAATGTAAAATATTAGTTGACTCCAAAGGGAGACATGGTCTAAATTGTATATATAGTCAAGGCAGGCATGTAGCAATTAATTTAGCTATTAGCCTTTCTCTTACCAGGGCCCGAATACCATCCTAGAGCCTACTAATTTATCATTAGATGATGGCCTAAGACCAGGTGGCTTAACTTCCGGGCCTTGGTCTTTAGGGAAATCCTTGATTTGGGATTCATGCGTATCTTCTTTCCCAAAAAATTTAAATTCTAATCCGGTTGATATAGCAGAGAAAGAAAAAAAAACAATTAAATATTCAAAATTAACAAATTATATTTTTTATACCAATCGTTATCTCTTCCCTAGGACATATGTCAAGCGGAACTTTAAAATTTTTAAAAAAATATAGGCGACAAGATAAGAGCCCTTGTATCAGAACCTAAAGAATACTATTTTTTAAAACAAAATCTACAAATTACTATTTTAAAAAAAGATTATTCATATTCTCTTAACTTCTGAGAACCTACTATTAAAGATGCAATAGGCATTTTTGATCCTCCTATGATAATTTAATTTTTTTTTTCTTCTATCTAAAAGTAAAATTTCAAGATCATCAATGTTGCTATCATCATCATATTATTATCACTATAACCAGTAGGTATTGTCAAGGCCTCCAATATATTGTAAATAATAGAGTTTTGCGTATGCCATAAATCCTTAAGATGGTCTTTAGCCATTTATTTTTGCTCAATACTCAATAAAACTTGATATCTAGGGTCTAAATATATAGAAGCGTCATACAACACTATTTTGCAAATATTGTTGCCTTCGAATTTTCATGTTTTCTAATATTTCGTATAAAAAGGACTGTAAATCTTTCTAAATCTAATCGGCGTCTAATCCATATGCCATAAAAATCAAATAAACATAATTGTTCTGATTGTAATCTTAATATTGTTATTTTTAAAGGAACTGATACACTACTAAGGTCCTTTAATTGGCACCAATCATCTTCCGACAAAATGATTTCACATGTTCCTATAATAAAATCGTTACAGAAATCTTTCAAACTTAATAATCGTTCTAGCATCATACAAATTGAAGATCAACATGTTGTGCATTATCGTTTAAATTAAAATATTAATACACAATTCACTTTAAAAATTAATCAACGTATTTCTATAACAACATAGCTTATTATAAAAAATTTCATAATAAAATATAATCATAACGATATCAATCTCTAAATAAAATGGAAGTCCAGGAAGTAAAATTGAAAGAAGAAAACGCGAAGATTAAAATAAATGATTCCACAAAAAAAGTTAATAAAATTTTAAAAAAATTATTATATTTTTTAAAAAAAAAATTTTTATTTTTAAAATGACACCTAGAACTCTTGGACCCTCCACTTTTGAAAAGGGTCTGGGTCCAGGTTCGGGTTCACATACCTGATATAATCTTTATAATGTTTTTATTAAAAAAAAACTAATATGACTTTTTAAAAAAAATAAATATTATTTATACTTACGTTAAGAAGAATTATACTATTATTTTTACTAGTGTTATAAGTTTTAAGCCGATTTTTAAAAACTGCTAACTCAATATTTCATCCAAAAAAAATATTATAGCCTAAAGATTTTGCTTATAGAAAGATCAAAGGTCTAAGACATTATATTATCGAAGTCTCGAGGCTTATGCGATATTTTTCCGACTAAAATATTGCCGTTTAACAAAACACTAAGAAGAATTACTATTATATTTTACTTTAATATATATATATATATATGAGGGAAGCAAATTTAATCTGCCTATCTATATTAATTTTAATTTTTTTAGTTAATTAAAGAGAAAATCATGAAAGTGGTAATTTTACGTTTACAAAAAAAAATGAGCATTGGGGAAACAAATAAAAAATATGCCCGCAAGGTCTATAAGTCGAGATGTCGCATGTTACAGGCTAATAAGAAAGAAATAAAGAAAGTTTTTATAATATATATATATATATTTATTTTAAATTATAATGCATACATGTTGATAAAATTTGCACTTAAATATTTTTAAATTTTTTTTTAGATTTAAAAAAAAAGCGTTAAATTATAAAGTATATCAAAATATATCTTAAAAAGTATCTTTAAAAGTATCTATAAACCGATTCAGATACATTTGAGATTGTATATGATGGATATAGATACAGATACTTTTTATACCAACTCTGAATAATCTTAAATAAATTTTTCAATAATTATAATTTATCAATTATATTAAAAACATTAATTAAAAGTCTAAAAAAATTTATTATTTGAAAATTTGAAAAAAATAAAATAAAATTTGATTGATTTATTGCTTTCTTCTAAGAAATGTTAAGATCTTTTCAATTTTTAATTTAAAACCCTTACCCTAACTAGATATGATTTGCGGTTTTAATTTAATTTTATTAATTATTAAATTAAATTTTTAATTAAATTATATTCTTTTATTTTTAAGTTTTTTCTTTAAAGTTTTTAATTTAGAAAACTAAATTATGATAAGTAAGTAAGAAGATATTGTGAGTGCTGGATTAAAAAGTAAATGACAAATATAAATTTTATGATATATTTTTTTTTCAGTTTCCGGTTCGAATAAAATGTTTTTTTTTGACGCGAAAACGTTCAGAGGGAAAATGGCTAACATCTTAAACGTAATTTCGAATATTATTTTCTTTCTTTCTTTTCTTTCTTTCTTTCTTTCTTTCTTTCTTTCTTTCTTTCTTTCTTTCTTTCTTTCTTTCTTTCTTTCTTTCTTTCTCTTCTTTCTAAAATAAAATTAAATTTCAATTTCAAAATAACAAAAAAGTCAGCAAAAGGAGTCAAATATTATCCCTATTTTTGGATATTTTTTCAAAAATTTGCTTACATCCGCAATATTTAATTAAAGATTTGTTATCGTATAAAATGGTTATTATTTATAACCTTCTTTACATTAAATTTTAACGAAGAAGTTTTAATTTGGTTAGATTTATGGCTACAGAGGTGTTTTATTTGATTAATACATTAAATTCAAAGACCATTAAAAGTGGTAATAATAAATAAGTTCCAAAGTGCTTAAAATAAAATACGAATGTTCCCTCAT